GCTAGCAGTTAATTTGCTATTTTATATATATATAAGATATTATTTTTTTTATAATATATATTTTGTTATACATAATATCAAATAAAGAAATGATGTTTACTTATAAAAAAGATTTAAAATAATAATAGTAATAATAATTTCAAGTTTTTATTAAAACAATATTAATATTTTATTAATAATTTCAAATATTAATTATTAGTTTAAAATATCTTATTAAAAGCAACATTAATTTTTTTTTAATTAAATTGTATATTACTATATTTATTAATTTATAAAAAAAATAATAATACAAAATTCAATATATTTATATTTATATTAAAGTTAAACTGTATCAATATAATAGAACATTTGTTAATAAATTATTTGTAAATTTATATATGATTCTTAAATTTTTAATATTAGAATTATTATGTTATTTATATAATTTAATTATTTATTAACTATTTTACTATAAGAAAATAGATTTATTAAGCTATTATTATATAATATTAATTATCTTAAATCTTTTAAATTATAAATAACTCTTTGATTATAATTATAAAAAATAATAAAGTTGCTTCTTTTTAAAGTCAAATTCTATTTTTGATTTTTTTAAGTCATCAAAGTCAATTTATATTTAGATTGTTACTTCAATATAACCTTATAGTCTTAAAAAGTAAAAATTATTTATTTATTTTTTTTTTTAAAAAAAACAATAAATAAAAAAAAAAAAAGTCTATATTAATAAATAAAAGATTCTTCTATAAAAGAAAAAGAAATCAATATAGGAGAAAAAAAAATCATCAAATTACTTTTAATTAAAAAAATATTAGAATATTTTGCTTTTTTACTTTTTTCAATTATATTATCATTATTATATTATATAATAGAAAATATATAAAAATTATTATATATCTTATTTATTAACTAAAGATTTTGATATAACAAAAATTTTATAATTAAATTAAAATAGATAAAATTCTTTAAAAATTCTATAAAAATTTGGTAATATGCTTGAAAAGATTGCTATAAATATTTGATTAGTGAAAAGGATTATATATTTATTTCATAAATCAAAACATTAACTTATTTACTTATTTTTAGCAAAAAATATTTACTTATAATGAACTTAAAGTTTTTATAATATTTGAAAAATGTATTTACTAATAAGCTCTTTTAAAATTTCTGACCTCAAAAAAAAAAAGTAAAAAAGAATATTTTTCAACAGGTTTCTTTTTTTCAATAAGATGTTTTTACCATAGATTAAATATATAAATTTTTGAATATTTTACTATTAAAATATCTAAAGGATTTTGAAGAAGAAAAGGTAAACAAGTAAAGGAGACTTTGTCTTTAGAAATATATTGTATGTTATTAAAGAAAGTGCTTAGACTTTATTATTAAAAATCAAAAAAATTTTTCAAGAATATCTGTTTTTTTAATTGGCAAAAAAGAGTTTTGTAAGCAAAAATCAATTATAATTTTGAAATATATAAATAGAAAGAAGTATAGTGATCTTGTTTTGAATGTCATTTATTTAATAACTTTAATTTTTGAGAAAAGAATACTATAAGAGAACAAAATATCAGTCTATAAGTATAAATTTGTAAAAGATCTTTGTTCAAAATTGAAATTGTATTTATAGAGTGATCACCATATTTACAAAATCTCGGTTTAATTGAAAATATCTAAACAAATGAAAAAGTCTGCATAATGAATCCAACTTGGAAGTAGTGTTCTTAGTTGGCAAATTTTTTTTCTAATTTATTGATTGTCTTAAATATACCGTAGTAACTAGTTGTAATTAAAAATTCTAAATTCTGAATGAAATGCTCTTGAAAGAAGTTATTATTGTGACATGTGAAAAATATTGCATTTGATAAAATTCTGGGTAATATAGATACAATGCTGGTTCGTATAAAAGAAGTGTGTTAAAAGAATTGTTAAGTAGCGCATTGATGAATTAGCTTTTGTGTAACAAAAAAATTTTAAATACGATGTTTTGATCGCCTATTCTTTTAACGAATGACTTTCACCCTCATCACATGTTAATAGAAAGTTCCTCACCTCTGTATCTTCTAGTCAAGACTATAAAATATTCTGGAAAAGTATATAATGGATAGGCGGTTACCAAATGCCGTAGACCACAGCCACACCGTCTTGTGTCATCCGGAGAGAAAGCTACACTCTAAACGGTGTCATTATGTCATACGAAGGTATGTACTGTATGTACTTGAACATTCCAGCATTATAAAGATAAATTTCCTTCTGTTAGCGATGACAAGAAAACATCAATTAAGCGTAAAAAGGGAAACTCTCCTAATCGCACACCTGTCATATTATTAGCCTCACTAAAATCTACTGTAACCACGTTCTTTGAAAATTAACATTGCCCAAGTCTGCTCCTTTAAATTGATTGTGATAAAACACGCCGTAACTTAAAAGTCCACTCTGGAAATATGAAAGCTATTTAGATTCTTACTACTAAAGACCATTGCATTTGCTGCGGCGATTTCGAAATTGAGCGTCTTTCGATTTCTCAATAAAGTCAAAAGGATTCTTTTTGATTTATTAGTCTGTTGCGCATCTATTAAGCCTCTATTCTATTGTACACACTCGGTTAGATAGCGAACAACTCCGCGATCACATAGTGTGAATTTAGTTTTGCAAATTTCCTCATGGATTGATCAAACAACAAAATAATTCGAATAAAGATTTGTTAATAAATCGATATTTAATGCAAAGACGTGTTTCCGGATCTCTATATCCAAAGAATTTAGGCACGCCAATCGGCATGTTATCTGCGTCGGAATGTTCTGTTAAATTGCATACAATGCCGCGTAAAATAATTTACGTCTAACTTTCTAAAGTCTTTCATCATCATCATCTAATTGAATGCGTCTTAAACGTATTTGGGATCGTTCGAACCATTTCTCCACAAATTTATTATATAAGGTTATACGTGTTATACTTTTTGCCGAGTCCGTAAATAGATTAAGTCTGGCACGATTTGTATTGATATTTTTAAAATAAAGGGTTGCTCAATAAGCGACCTGAATTAGGAATGCGTTTTAAAACCACTTCATAGCTTTGCACACTCCATATCTTTTGCGTGACTTCGACATACCTTTCAAATTTCTTCTTCAGAAAATGGAGCTATCCATGTTTCTTGAAGGAACTTAAATTAATACATGGGGTGAATTTTTGTTGATAATTTGTGCCCAAATACACTGGCCGACGGTCTTTGATCTCACCATATCCATCTAATGTAAACAGGACTTACAGTTTTGTTTCAGGTTTTCGATAATTTCTTCTAAAAGGCATATCTCTCTTAAATACTTTTGAATTATCTTCTTATTAGGATATACTATATCTATAGTTGGATAAGTTTTAATATCAACCCGTCCCTTGAAGAATGGAGCAACAGGTCCTTTTTTCTGAATGTCAATCTCGGCCTCCAAATCAAGAGTTTGTGACATTTAGGGTCCACTTTCCCTTTGGTGGAGCATACAATTCCAATGAACTTTTAATCTCTTCACCCTGTTCAAGCGAACAAACTACTCAAGCTTTACCAGCCGATTTGCTTGAAGGAAAATACTTATAAATCGCAGAGCTATTTTTTTTAGACACAATTTTATACAAAAAGAGTTTAAACCAAATGCTGATTTATATTTTTCATATCAAATAATTGATAATAGAAAATAAAAATTTAAATCTGGAATGCAACAAGATTACCTTTTTAAATATACAATATACAGTATGCATTTTATTAATTAATCAATCAAGAATAAATAAATAATAAATAAACTATTCATAAATATGTTAACATATTAAAACCTAGTAAAATATGCATATCACCATTAGAAATTTCATATAGCAAAATTGAATTTTTTTTTTTTTTAAAAAAAAATAAAATAGAAAATAGATAATTTGGATATACAGTAAAAAAATTTTTTTTTTTGGTTTAATAAGAAACAAACAATTATTAAATATATATAATATAAGTTAGATGATATAAAATAAAAAAAATTCAAGTTGATTGTTTTTAGAAATTTTTAGAAATTACTATAAATATTATATATAATAATCAAATAGTTGTATTGCAAGATTTAATTTTCAATATAATATTATCAAATTTATTTTTTTTAAAAAAATACCTACATATATCATATAAGCTATTAATTAAAAAATTTATCTGATGATAAAAAAGCATGCCCTTGATCACATTTGTCACGTGTATAAGTGAGAGATTGATTGAGGAAATTTTTAAGTCTGATATTTTTCAAGATTAAGATTATTCTATGTTTTATCTATCATTTTTATAAATATTGTGATTAAATCAATAATTTATTGTATAATAAAACAAAAAAATATCATTGCTTTAATTTAATTTTGTTCTAATTATCAAACTTGAAATATGAACCTTGTTTAATGATATCATGAATGAAATCAATATTATTATTGTACTGTAACTACAGTATATGAAAAATATAATTTGAAAAGTATGCACCATCCGTCACGTGACAGAATACATTTTGAGGAATGAATAGATGGCGTTCGCCTTATTCATACAAGGCGGAGGTCGTAAAAGGCCTCAACAATAGATGAGTGAACAATCAACCGAACATCTCACTTCCCCAAAAAAGCATATTGTATTATCTCTTAAATCTCAGAATGAAGGACAAGCGATCAGACTTTCCTTACCATAAAAGACAAACTAAAAGATGGAGAAATATGGTTTTTTTTTCAGTGCGACGTGTATCATAATCGCCGAATATACAAACACAATGATAATGGATGGGCGATTCTACATTGTAATGCGGTGATTCATTAGCTTAAGCATCCCTGCATCGCCCACTTTAAAAAGTCAGCAGTTTCATCAATGCACATATGCGTCCGAACGTAAATGGGCGAAAAAAAAATGCCCAAAGCATCCGATAAGTTACGTTGCGTGTTATGGGCATTGGGCCTCTGATGCGTGTGCGTAATTTGTTGATTCGGGAATTGTTTTGAATTCCTTGATGCCGCAAGAGATCGTACACCTTTACCAAGTGAGCAAGAGGAAAATCCAATGTTTGAATGAATGACCAACTTATCGAAACCAAACATTTTGTGTCACATGGTATCAATGCGATCGGACACAATAACAAATATTTACTAGTCCGTTGAGGGACTTTCCAGTTGGAAAGCAATTCTCCAAACATTACCTTCGCCCAACGTTAGGTCGCTTGTTAGCGAAATTGAATGGGAAGAATGGGAAGGCGTTTTTCACACGGTCTGCATTAACATCATTTGCGGATTCGCGGTATCATTGTCACCTTTGATGAGTTCCAGGTATAATTTATCATGGCCAATTCGGTAGTCATGGCTTTATTAATGGAAGAAAAAAAAAAAGTAGGCATCAACGTATACCCACGTATACTGTGTGCATATTAATTACGTTTGATGTGCACCGTGCATGGATTTATTTGTTGAGAAAAATGGAGTAAAATACGTGTTACTACGTTTAATCTTTGTTACAGGAAGGTACCTGAATTTTTTTTTCTGAGATGGCAATGTGGAGTAGAAAAAACAGCGGAGGTAGTTCATGGCTTATGTGGTGGAGTAATCCGAGTATGACAAACAAAAAAGTGGGGAACGATACGAGATAAAAGCGCCAATCCATTCAAGTAGGAAAATGTGCATGCATAAACGCGTGTTTTTGGTAATGATTAAAATTCTTAAGGAAAAAGAGCAAGAGAAAAAAAAACAAAACATTCACACACAAAAGTACGTTTGCAAATTAGCATATAAACAATGTATTACGACATGGTATACGTGTATTGCCACAACCGCATATCAATAGATCAACAGTACAATCGACTTTTCGTAATTATAAAGAAACCAAAAAAAACGTTCTTTGTTCTTTGCTGATGAATGGGATATGCGTACACAACAATTTAAGATCTTATTGTACGTAATCCCCAGAGTACAAGAGGGAAAAAAAAATGCAACTAGGTCAGTGAGAGATCGTACAATAAGGTAGGACGCTCATCATCATGTCTAGAATGTCTAGAATTTTCTGGGTATCAATGCGAGCCCCAGGATTGCTCAAAAATGGAATAGGACAATATGATCTTCCTATTTAATATTTATTTTAGGTTTTATTAAGCATTATAAATCATCATATAGCCTATACGATTTTCAGCAGCAGAGGATATATTAGTAGTAATTAATTAAATAAATAAATAGGTGCTAATATTAAAATATAATTATATTATATTTTACCATTCTACTGCAATTTTATAATTTATTTTTATCGAATGCAAGAAAAGATTCTTGAGAGAGAATAAATTATCATCAAGTAAAAAATAATTTTTGTGTTCTATCAACATTAGCATCAGTGTGTAGATTGTGTACACAATGAGTGTGTGTGGATAATAAATGTGCATGTGTATAATTTTAATTTTTGAAATATTCTTTGTTAAACAAAGTGTTGAACTGTTCAAGTGTTGTGATATAAAAAAGATTTTACAAAAAAGTACTTTTAATAATAACAACAATGATTTGGTTTTTTAATTTAATTAATTAATTAATTAATTATTAATTATTACAATTAATTGATGAAAAAATTTTTTATTTTTTTTTGAAATAATTATTACTATCAGTGATAGTGTTATTGTTTGTAATCAAGATTAGATTGTTTTTACCATCATGATTTTTAATAATTTTTAATATAATTTACAGTATTTTTAAATTGTTTTACATGTATTTTTTTAAAAAATTATTACTTAGCATGAATATATTTGATTGTGTGTGTGTGTCATGGTATCAGCATAGGGCAAGGTAATGTTGTTTATCACAATTCTTGTTAATCCAATAGATAATATTTTGTCATGAAAAATTTTTATTTAAAAAAAATTCTTGAATAAAAATCTTGTCAATTCTTTTTTTCATTTATAATGTACTGTATATATATATTTGATGTCACAAGAATTGATTGGAACAAGTTGACAAAAAAAAAAAATTCTTAAAAAGAATTGAAATTAATATTTTCATTAAAGTTCACAAATAAATGTAAAGTATGTTACAAAAACATTAGATTAGATCTTATGACATGCAAAAATAGTCTAAAGTGATGAGGGCACGATGTTTATCGTTTGACGAGATAATGTTTGTTAAAAATGTGGTAAATAAAAAATACACATTTATAGCATTGTAATTAGTGTTAGAGAATACTCAGGTAAAAATTCGCATTGAATTAATTTTTGTTTATTTTTGTATTAAGCATGGTTTTTAAAAATAAACTGATCGATTATCAGATTAAATTTATACGTTACACTTTTTATTTAATTTATTTAATTTAATGCTATATAAAGTATCATCGTTCTCGGTGATAGCCACAATCTCGATCCAACTTGTTTGAATTGAAAATGTGCCTTTGAAAAAAAATAAAATGGCAGGGAACAAATAAATTCAGAACAATGGTAAAAGAAAACGAGTTGGTTGTTACAGTTTGTGTGTGTGTGTGTGTGTGTGTTGTGTGTGTGTGTGTGTGCCTAGGACGGTATGGGATTGTGAGGAGGGTACAAATACGTAGGTGGAGTAGGTGGAGTAAGTGTCAAAGCGGGATTTCCATAAACAATAATCGATCAGATAATAGACAAATTTGGCAAAACTTGATATGGCAATATGGGGTAAAAGGTGGTCATGTCGCTTAGATGCTAACTGTTACGTTACGCAACAATCTAATTGGAACCAATCCCTTTTATCTCAGGTAAAAAAAAATCCTATATTTTCGAGCATATATATATTTTTTTTATTTGCAATTGTCCTTCGGTTAGCCTGTTTTTAAGGCTTTGTTGTGCCCGAGGGCTACATAATAATGCCGTAGGAGAAAAATGGTTTTGAAAAATTTTTTTCCTTCTATAATGCTTATAATGCATTATTGTATGTAGTACTATTGTATTAAATAGCAAGCATTGTTTTTATTGTATGTACGCAAAAAAAAAAAAAAATTGATACGCACAACAGTGCATCCCACCTATCGTCCACATAAAAATATTCTAAACGATTATCAAAATACATTTGGATTTTTAAAGTAGGATGTTCGTAAAGAAATAGTACTTTAAAAAAAATTTTTTTATCAATACCTACTCTAATTTGTTTATTTATTATCTCGCACCATACAATTCCATTCTTTTTTTTTTTTTTCTTTTATTCGTTCTCAGCTATCAATCATCCTCAAATTTAATAAATTGCAGTCGTCTTCCGTTTCGTCTTAAAAAAAAAACGACGAACACAACGAAAGACTTTTTTTTATCCGCTTTTTGGTCTACGTGTGTTCATTTGCTTTTGGATGAGGAATTTTACTCCCATTTTTTTTTACCGACGACAACCTCTCCTCAACTTCATCAGTCTTCCTACCACCTTTCCACAAAAACTCTCCGCTGACATCTCTTTTACGAATTAGTCGTTCCGAAAAGAAACCACCTTTTTCAAAGCAAAACACCTTTCCTCACCGAAACGTTTTTTTTTTTTAAAAAAAAAAAAATTTTTTGTTAAACTTTTTTTTGACTGAAACGGTCGTGTCATCACGAACTGACTGCAATTTCAAAGTATCAACTTTACCTTTGCTGAACTTTACAGACATCATGCAGAGTCGCATGCCGGTAAATATTTATACCTATTTTCTATTCTAAAAGAAAAATAAATAAATAAATAGAAATTTAAATGAAGAAAAAGGAATTCTGTTTATTTTGTGCGCGTCTGCCACTACATGATAATGAATGATCATCCAATCAATTGCTTGCTTTCACTGATAAACTTCTCTCTCTTTCGTTGTATATTGATGTCAATAGTACAAAACTTTCTCTCCCGTCATTCTCTTTCATGAAAAACCGATAAGTAATGAATGTGGGATAGAATACAATTATTCTATGAGTAATGAATCGGTTAAAGCCAAAAAGCGGGAGGTCGATGATATGATGAGAGAAAATTCTCAGTTTTGGAGAGGTAATTGGTTAATTAATGTTATTCCCCCGAAAAATTTCTTTCTTTAATTTGCCATTTTCTAACCCACTGACTGACTGACTCATTCATGAATTTGACCATGGTTAGATCCATACGATTCAACTTCCTCCATCTCTTCGCCACTCACTAATTCGATATACAGCTGTCCAGACCAGTCAATGGATGGAACTCACGGTGTAAAACCAAAACGAAGACGGGGAAATTTACCAAAAGCCACAACTGCCCGTTTAAAAGAATGGCTCGCTGACCACCGTCGGCACCCGTATCCCACCGAGGATCAAAAAATCACCCTGGCCCAAGAAACCATGTTGACACTTCAGCAAATATCGAATTGGTTTATCAATGCCAGGCGAAGGCATTTGCCTCTTCTGCTAGGTATCAATCCTCAGAAAAATTCTGGCAATGTCTACAAGTATGGATCTGACAATTCTGCCGGTATGTGTACATACGATCCATCGATTGTCCTTCATCATTTTTGTTACCATCTACTTACGCGTCAACCATCCACTTTTACAGAAGACAGTACGTCAGACAGCGGTAAGCGTATACGGGGATGTTATCGAGCATGCCAAAGGAAATCCGACTTGATCGGTAAACCTCACAGGCGCAACAGAAGAAAATATTAGATTTTCTCCGACCACTTCCTTAATCTTCTATCAAAACTTTCCGATTTTTTTCTTTTCCCTACTCCCAACCTCTCACCAACTGGTTTTTTTTTTTTCTTTTTGTAAAATAAAAGAAAAATTCCGATCTGGTGATTTTGTTTCGTTTTTTTCTTTTTTGTTGTTACCGTTTATTTTTTAAAAGAACCATCCGATTGGTTCATTATGTAAATTTTTCTATACGCAACCTTTCGTCGTTATTCTACTTTTCTTGACGATCGAATATGTAAATTGATTTAATTAATTTTAGTTTTTTTTTCTTTGTATGTAATTTTTCTCTCCCTCTCTTTTCCATAACGCAAGACGTCAGTTTTCTAAGCATATAAACAAACACTAAAGACTTCCAGCTGGAAAAAAAAAAAAAAAAATTTCTCAAAAAACCCAAGATTTACACACTCCACATTATATTTAAAAAAAAAAAAAACCCGATAAATGTACTAAAAAAAAAAATCTTCACCAAAAATATTACGTTCATATATATATATATATCTATTTATATTTTTATCATGAATTTTCCGTATTCATATTTATTACATTTAATACTCAGATTTTACGCAATTCACCTTTAAAACCCGTTAAATACTATATATTAGATTACACTATAATCTCATAATAAAAATTTCTAATTAAAGATGTCTAAAATGGGAATGTGTGGGGTAAACAGGGTCATTAATTCCGGGCATTGCGAAGAGCATCCAGTTAGTTATTCGGATTTGGCTTTTTTTTTTTTTTTGGAAAGAAGACTGATAAGATTATCTGATCAAGATTTCTTTTGAAATTGAACGACAACACTTAATGCCCGAGACCTAACCAAATCATGAACTGACACCGTTCATATGCGTTCTACCTGAAAAAAAAAGATCGGTGACAGAGTGGCTTATATTTTCGGTGCACACGTTTACAGGAAAGAACTTTACATGTCATGGTTTCCGGTCACGTGATAAAGACTTCAACGAAATTCGATTTTTTTATTAAACAAATTAACAACCGACATGATAAATACTGTAGATACAGTATAACGAACATAATACTGGATGGACAAACGTTGCATCTGAATGATTGACATCATATTTTTTTTATTCCATTCATTACAATTGTGTGCCAAATATAGAACACAATTAAATCTATTTGTTTAAAAAAAAAAAAAAATATACTATTTACTTACTTACATGTTTATTTATTTGCCACATGCAACTAATTGAATTTTCAATGAGAGATAATCCAATTTTTTGATTTCACATTGTCAACTAGATAACTTTTTTGGGATATCACGAAACACCTTTTGCAAAAATCGAAATCGATAATGTCAGGATAAAACCATTGAGAAAAACATACCATGATACAAAATTAGGATTACTGATTGTAATTGCATTACATGCATTATAAAAGTTTTATACCATCCAGAACAAATGTATTATATGCATTAACACACAAATAAAATATTATAATAACAAGCAATTAAATAAAACTATGACAATAATATCTTTAAATTTATTAATTAATTAACAATAATGGTTTTATAATTATTTTTATAAAAACTTTGTAGAATAAAATTAAAAAATATAAATTAAAAAGCACTTTTTTTTTTGAAAATTTTCTTTTCTTTTTCTTTTTTCTTTTTCTGTTCAAGATAAAATCCCATAGTAAAACAAGCCTAAGATATGTTAATACTATATGAAATTCTTTTAACTATTGGATATTATCTATCAGAAATATAGATATATGTAATATTAACTGATATATAAAAAAAACTTTTGTCTAAAAAAACATAAGTAAACCAATTTCTATACATAATATAATTTAAAACAAAACCAAAAAATATTAAAAAAAACAATTAATCTTATTTCTTGCAAAATTCTATATATGTTTAATAATTATAAGCTTAAGAGTAATTCTATTTTTTTTATTTTTTTTTTATTTTTTTTTCAAATTCTTTTATTCATCTTCTCTAAGTTATTTTTTTATTTCTCTTTGAAATTTTTGTTTTTTAAAACCATAATCCTTTATTTTTATTATACTTTTTTATTCTATTACTTTTAAATATACTAAAAATAACTATTCTTTAATAAATATAATAAATTTTTCTAGTAAAAACTCATTCTTGAGTACTTTAACTAATAAATACAAATTTTTTATCATTTTATTTTAAAAAAATATAATTAGTCTTTTTTTAAAAAAAATTAATAAAGAATAATCATGATATATTGGTTATAAAATTATCAATATAGATAGAATTATGGTCATTAATTTTAACTGGTACAGTAAATTTGATAATATAATATAATAATATAAATTAAAAGTTATTTATAAAGCAATTACTAATATGAATATTAATATATAAAGTAAGCTTATAACTAAATAGGAATTGTATTTTGTTTGATATTTATATTTCTAGATTTGACAATCTATACTCACTAAAAATCTCTAGAATATCTATTGAAAGATTTAAAAGTTATACTTTACTTGATTGTTTAATTCTCAAATTTAATAATTTGTATTAATTAAAAAATTCCTTTAAAATATTTATTAAAAAATATTAATAAAATTATGAATATTATAATTGTATAAGCTAAAGATATAAAATATAATAAAAAAATTTTCAATAAAAATTAATATACAGTGTAAAATAAAAATACTTGCACTATATATATATTTTTATTTTTTAATATAATAAAAAAATAAATCAATTTTAATAACATTTATTAAAAATAATAATAAGTTTTTTATAATTTTTTCATAAGTTTAAAAGTTTTATTTATTTTTATATTTAATTTTTTAAAAAAAATTTTTTTAGTAAAATTTTAACTTTCATTTATATTTTATATGTAAATATATATATATAATTTATAATACATTTTTTGAAATTTTTTTTTTAATTTTAAATCAATATTTTTGAATAAATTTATTAATTAAATTTTAATAAAACTTTAATATATATATATTTATTTATTTAAAGTAGTTAAACATTATTGCTTTATTATAATTGCAAAATTGAAAATTTTTACATGAAAAAAGTAAAAATATCTCTCATGTAACCACTTGATCAGTGAGTTTAATACTAGCTTTTCTATAATAAACTATCTAAATTGTAAAAAAAAAAAAATATTAAAACCAATACATTGTCAAAGATAGTGTCAAGCAACTATAAATACTTACTCAGATTTATATATAGAAAGACTATATTGAAAAAAAAACCCACTATTAAACAAAGAGATAAATACAAAAAAACTAATTATAAAACTAATGATGTTTTGAAAATGTATATCAAACTGGTGATTCTATTTAACTGAAATGTAGTGTATATACACTTATCACAAATGGCTAGGCTATTATTCAAAGTATACAATAGTATTAATAATATATTTCTTTGATAGTTTATTGATTGTGATAATTGTATTGTTGTTATATTAATACGATTAGTAATTAATTTGTTTGTTAATAATATAATTGGTTTGTTTATTAATAATATAATTTTGTTTTAATAGTTGTTACCAAAAAAGATTTTGTTTATATTAATTAGTGTGTAGAATTTTAATAGTATAAATTTGTTTAAATAATTGATAATGTTTGATTGATTGGTTTTGAGATATTAATTAGTTGATAGAAATAAAATAATTGTGGTTTTTTTATAAAAATTTTTTTTTAAAAAAAATGTGTATTTTTTGTGACACAGCAAAATATGCTAAGCAATAGTAGGAAGTAAATAATAAATATATTGTTGATTCTTCAAGTCAACAATATAAATATTTTTAATATATGGTTTAGTTTTTTGATTTGTAAAAAAAATTTTCAAGAAAAGAACATAGTTATTTAATAAGAAATGTATATCAGTAAGAAGTAAAAATGTAAAGAACTTTAAAAAAGATTTATAAATAAGTAATTGCTATAGACCTTTTTTCTTGTAATTTAAAGTAAAAGCAAGAACTCCAAACTTGTTTTTCTTTGATCAGAGGTTCTATTCTGATGTACCAGTATACTTCTTTAATTTTTTTAAAGTTTTTGTAATAAAGATAAAGAATATATGAAGAACTTTGAAATATTAAAAGGTAAGAAAAATTTTTGTTACTTTAATTTTGAAAGATAATTACTATGGTGGCTATCATCTATAAACCACACAGTCTGAAATTCAGATGTAAATTACTATATAATTTTTATAATAAATCACATGACTATATATTTTTAAATATATATATATATGCATTTACTCATTACTTCTGCAACTCAACAAAGATGATCTTAAAATCCTTTGTGGTGAAAAAATCACTGGTTATGCATTTCTCAAATTGACCAAGAACAAGATGGATTGAAAAGAGAATCTGCAATAGCTTTTTGTAAAGTTTGCTAAAGAAATCAAGAAAAAAATTTGAGAGCATTTTCATTATACCACAGTCTAAGAGAAATGTTATTAAAATATGGTCCTGATAGTGATGGTATTGAATTCATTCTGCTATTCATCCTTCCAACCTACAAGATTCAAGACAATAATAAATATTTTAATAGTTTATTCCCTTCTGTTTTTTTAACTTCTTTGTATAAATAGTATTTAGGTATTATTAATCATTTCTCAGCTTTATTTTCTAATTTTAAATTAGTTAATTGTTTTTTATTTAATAATTTTTAATTGGAATAAGGTGCATTATAAAATTTATTGATTTATAAGCATTTAATAATTTATTAATCAAAAATTTTTTTAATACTAAACAATTCAAGAATCATGGTTGCGAGCCTTTGAAAGGCTTAAAAGTGGACAAGATTATTTAATGAATATCATAGACAAAAACTTATAAGAATTCATTAGAGAGGGTAAGTTATTATTCTTATGAGCCGTTTCTTTGAATGCTATCCAATCTTTCATGTATCACATTTTTTTTGTGATTTAGATCTTAAAACATTTTGCATAGGTTATACTGATATTACCCCTGAGTAAAGATGGGTTCCTAAATTAAAGGCGAGGACATAATTCA